TCACCACCCAGTCTGTATTTGTGCCTGGATTTAGTCCATCTTATTAGTATCTTCTCTTGATGTCAAGTTTGACATCTAACAATTAGTTTGACAACTTATTGTACCATTTAGTTCTTAGTTTCTCCCATTGGGGCCTGCTACCTCAGCTCATTTCACTCGTTCCCATGAATATAATTCTCACTATAACCATTCAGACCCATAAACTGAGCATCTTTAGCAGGCTTTGCTGTAGGTCTAGTTAAACTTCTCACAAATTTTGTCACCTTTCAGCATCACCCTTCACATTGGGAGAATGGTCTTTTTGAACAAAATCAAAAGCAACACGGCCCTTGCTTTAATTTACTTCTTCACTTTCCCATGATCCACTTCTACTGTGGACGCAAAAAAGCCAGTATTTAGAGCCAATGTTGACAGGCAGAGTATTAGGAGTAGTTCGTTATGCTGTTTATATAATGTGCACGTCACACTTGTATTATTTTTCAAGGTTGCCCTTGCATTTAGGAAACATCTACTGAATCCTGCCTTTTTTGTAGGTGTCTCTCAGACCCCAACCCCACCTCACCCAACCCTTTATCTTGATCCTCTGATTTACTCTTCCTTTCACTCTGTTCCATCCCTCCTTGTTACCCCAACCTCCTTCTATACCCTAAATTGCTACCCAGTACTCCAGCTTCTAAGTCTTATGCGCTTCTACACTGATTGAGGAAAAAACAGCAAGTACTGTGGCTTATCTCAGGCAACTACTGAACTCAAAACTGCAGGTTCTATCTTCTGTGAAGGCATTGCTTTGGCGATCTTATATTTACTCTGCTGGAGATTTTTTTACTAAAACATGTAGAAACTTAACTACTGTGAGAGTGTCAAAAGCAAAACAGACAAAAGTTTGCCAGCAGGTTCCAAAAAAATTATTTATGAGGTCTTATAGACAGACCGTAAAGAAAGATATCAAATAAGGAATATTAAATATATGGTACAAGTTACAACTTACCTTAAAATTCATCAATCAGTGCTGCAATCACAGCAAATGCTGACATATCAAAACTATCATTAATCTAGCAGGACTAGATGGCAAGTGCAAGCTACAACACACTCATCTGCTGTGATGCATGTTAGCTGTCCCAGTAAGAAGACAATGTCCATTAAAGTGCTACCACTTTCACTGTTACTAAACTTTCCATCTCCTCACATAGCCTACAATTCCATTATCAATTACTGACTTTGCCTAATATAATTCTACACAGTTCAGCAAGCATGCACATATATTTTTGTAAATACCTACTATGCAAAGGCCCTGGCCACAACTGAAGCCTTCAGATATTAATATGACGTTCTAATAATATACTATGTATTATAGTGCGAAGTACTACTACTGCCATCAGAAATCAAAAACATGATTTGAGAATTTCTAATAAGTTTTAAGTTATATTTTCTCATTTGTGTATAGCATGAACTGAAATTAAACGTCTGACAACTTCAGCATGAATTTTGAATTCATACAGTTAAGAGAACGTGTATCAACTTACCTGCAAAATCTTTTACATTCACATTTGCACCTAAACTGATTAGCTCTTTAACCTGTTTAACATCCCCTCGAATTGCTGCCATATGTAGAGGAGTTTCCCCTCGTTCATTCCTCTTGTTAACTTTGTCTTTTTGTCTTGAAGAAGAGCTTGGAGTTTTCTTTTGTGTTGGTGTTGTTTGTAATGGATGATTTAAGGTAGAGTCTACAAAATAAGTTTTTAAATGTGACCATAAATTATTTAACACTATTTTTAGTTTTTAACACTTGCATTCAGAGATGACAATAATCAGTGAATAATTATATTCAAATTAAGCATGTATTTGACACTTCACATGTATCAACACAATGCCTAATCGCAATGTGCAAAAAGGTGTTTTGCAAAATCTCACTGTTTTTGAAGTAGCCTTCAAGGACAGATGAAGTCTATCCAAACTATAAGGTTCACAAACTCTGGTATAAATTCTGCTGAAATAGGACAAAGCATGACCATGCAGATTAGTATCTACCCCGCTTCCCCTTCCTCCAGCACAACTCCACTATATTTTTATGTAGCAGGATGCCAGTTTTAAAGAAATAATGTCTATGTATTGTACTCCATATGCTTCCTCGGCTTTGCCAACACAAATGTTTTTGGGTGGACTTGATGGTTTCTTAAGGAACCACAGCTATTCACTTTTAAATGCCAATTCTGTAAAAACACTACACCTGTAGAACTCATACATACACAAAGATTTTTTTAAATACAACTGGACCAAGGACAGTTTGAAGTTCTGAACTAAAAACAAGGTGTCTTCTCTTTCCCATTATTCCTAAGGAAATAATCCAGTTTTGTTCTGAATTCAAATCTTGCTCCAAATTGAGACAATGAGACAATAGTTAAACATCATGAAAAAACAGGTAACATTTCAGTTTTTAAATAATGCATATGGAACAGTGTTTGAGAGGCAAAAATAATAAAAAGAAGAAAAGAGATTTTCAGGTTTTACAGTTATCCTAACACAAAGCTTTGCACACAAGTACAGAGGTAAAGAATTTTTCATCAAATTACTTGTCAATGAAAAATAGAGTTTTAATGGAATTACAAATAATTTTAAAAATTTTAAAAAAAAATCAAGGATTATTGAAAAACATTAGAGTTCAGAATATTCTGACTGGGACAGAATTAAACAGGCAGAAGGAAGAAAACTATTAACTTTGTAAGATCACCTGGACTGTTGTCTCTTGCTGTCATCTGCATGAGAAGTGCCATCTGTTTACGCTCTGACAGAGGATAACCGAAAAGAATGCTAACTGGTGTTGATTTCTTATTTCCAGCATCCTTCTTCATTTTCTTTTTCTCTGGACCTTCCTTCTCTGGAAATATTAATATTTAAAAACTCAAACTGCTGTTCTATTACAATATTTTTCTAGAAATAAAACCATCCTTTTAAGGTATGTGAACTAGTGACTGCTGGCAGGTGATGAAAAACAGAATTGCATCTCTAATTTACTGCATTTGCATTAGTTTTGGTTACCTATTTTAATCATATTAGAATAATATGCTACTGAGTTAAAGCACTTAAAGCTGTAAGGAGGATTAATAAAAAATTCTAAAAGATGAAAAACCTGTTTCACAGCAAGACGACTGTATATGTCACAACTTTAAGACAATCAAGTCAGGCACTTAAAAAATTCCGTAAAATCAGCTAGTCAACTTTCAGCCTTCAATACTCACCTGAGACAGTGCTGTATTCTACTTCTCTCAAGACACCACGTTAAAAATTAGGAAAATACTTTTTAATACTAGTATTTGTTAGGTAATTGGATAAATTACTTTCTCTCAAACTTATCCTGTTACTTCACTTTAGAGCAATTTCTTCTCTAAAATTCATATCTTTCAAACACATACAGCTATTTTATATACATAACTTCTTCCCTTTTATCAATATTTACACAAGTTGTTTAATATGTCATGTCCGAGTTTTATACTAGGAGCTAAAATTACACATCTGAATAAACAGATAATTTCTAAAGCTATTCAGTACCTACAAACTCTCACAGATCTCCAGATTGGTTAAATGTGCCCTGAAATCAGACAACTTTCTAATATCTAATGAATTTCAAAACTAGAATTCTATTTGTGTAATTTGGAAACTTTAGTCTACGTCTTCCATGCTTTTCAAAAGTTCTTCCTTCATTTTTCTGCATAAAGGTCTCGTAAACCAAACACATTAGGCATTTAGGTTAAAGTACGATAGAAAACAATTGATTTGTGATTAAGTGACTTTGACTAAATAATTTTTAACTGAAGCAATATTTCACGATCTCAACATCAAACAAGCACAAACTCTCAATGCATCAAACTTCTTTTGGTACAACTACTTTCTGCAGATCTTCCTGTCTGGTCATTATTGTTTAACTGTATTTTCTAGAGACATATTAGTTTGCATTTATGTGTAGTGAAGACCATTCATTTTCTGTAATTATCTTGTCTTTTCTGCAGCTGCTCTTTTTCTGTCTTAACAGAGTCTTACCAAATTCGGCATTTTATATCTTGTAAGTAGCTTATATTACTTACATGTTAGATCTATAATGTCTACCTTTTCCTTCAGAGGCCTTAGGATGTAAAAGATGGCTCAAGGAACTTTAGTCAGAAATTAGGTGATTTGGAATTAAAATTTTTAAAAGAGTTAAAAAAATAAAATAATTCTAGCTATCACTGTCAAGGAGGAATATTCTAAGAGACCCAACCAATAGAAACATCATCTTGAAAGTCTGAGCAAATAATTCCCTTTATTTCCTTCCCTAAAAGCCTAGATTCAGTATTAGGCTTTTCCAGAGATTCTGCTCACTCTACTGCACCCTCTCCTTTTGGAAGCCTCCCTGCTGATCACCTTCCCAACAGGCCTTTAACAGCTGGACAGGACTCTTCGTCCTACAGTCACGGGTAATTCCAGTTCACCCTCCAGGCTGGACTGCTGACCACAAAGACAGGGACAGAATTCAGTAAGGGTGTCTATTGCCCACTTTTTCTCCTCTGTGGCTTGCTGATGCGCTAACTCCCATGAAGCCAGAACATGAAACAATGCTGAGATCTAAAACTTACAACAGAGAACACATAACAAATGAAAGGGGGGCAAGAGTTGTTGGACCAATTAACCAGACTTGTCCATACTAAAATGCTAGAATTTAGCTGAGAATTGGTTGAGGCTTGGTTGGGGATTCTTACTATTAGTTAATAAGCCTGGTTGCCACACTGATCATCTTAGCTTTTTGTGTAACAAATTATTTCATCTTATTCTGACTGTGATCGATGATCATCTGATGAGACATTGTTCATTCAGTTTTAGTTAATCTTAGTATTCTGGACCACACTAAAAAAACTGTGGAAACATGATTAAACTAAGTCAAAGTAGGAGGTAGGGATTTTATTTTTATTACTGCTCCCATGATTACATTGGTCTCCCAGTTTCCTTTCCTAAATGTCAACCTCCAACACTTGTATGATAAAAACTTCATAAAAAAAAAAAATCCGTCAGTTGCAAGAGCAAAAAAACTTAAATCAGAAGACTCTACTGAGGCAAACTTCACTGATGGTCTGCAGAGTCACAAAAATTAATAAAGATTACAAATCAGAAGCTTAAGTCCATTTGAGGTTGCTAATCATGCCATTCCATGTTTTATTAAGACCCAAAACGACGACTCTTTATCTTTTGATTTTCTCCACTTCTGCCTTAGGTCCTCTCTGTGGCCGTTCTTGTTTCATTCATTTCCTCTCAACTCATTTTCTGCCTTCCTACTCTTCTCTAAATCTCATCTTCTAGGCTTGATTACAGACACAGGCTCTAGTAACATAATGCTCCTCAGGCACAGGATGGCACACAAATAGTGCACATTTTGAATTCCATAGTGACCAAATAAGAAATACATGATTTTACACACTAAACAATTATCAGCAAGACTATTAAGAATGGAAAGCTACAGACCTATGTACATATTAAAAAAATCCTACAAATTTATCTATCATGTTTAAAAAGGTAAGAAGATCCCATTTACAGAAGTAATTGTTGAGATTTTTCTAAACTGCATGCATTTCATACTCCTGAATATCTAAAAATTCATTGAATATCGGAATCAACACTACTGCCCTATTGGTGGAATATCTGCATAGGAAAATTTAAAGAAAACCTACAATGAAGTTGTACTTTCAACTTTTCATTGTGAATATGCTGTTCTCTCTCCAGTGATAATGTACTGCATACTCTTCATTGATTAATTTAGTACTCTCATCAAAGCAACACATTTCAATTTGTCTGGCATGATCTGCTGTTTCTTAGCTTATGCTATTTAATGCTCATGATTCTTTTATTGAAAAAACACATTCATTTTCATTCTGAATTATTCCTTACAATTTTATAGCTATACTCAGCTTGAGAAAATAATACATCAAAATAAGTGAAAAAAATCTTTTGATGATCTTGCTTTTACTTTTTTACTATACATTGTACTTTTCCAGGTATTTTTATTTGTTGGGTTTAGGGTTTTGATTTGTGTTATTTTTTGTTCGTAGGTTTTGTTTTTTTAAATAATTTTGTTATTAAAGTAAGTAAGTAAATGAGAGCAATTTACTCCTGTCTCATGTTTCATATTGTCAAACATATATTGTCCTTCCCTATATATTCCAATGCATTTCAGTGGTGGGGCAAATTACTTTTCTATTACTCTCTACTAACGCAGTGTTTGTAAAGCATTTCTAAAGCTTACCAATTAAAAGTACCAAATAAGAATACAATTGTTTTCACCAAGTTATGCTGTAATTATGCCCTTACCACTCAAAAAAAGACATAATTTTATTAAAATTGATGTGAGACTTCATATGCGTTTTCAGTAAATCTAAACAGTTCAATACACAAAATTAATATGATCAACAACAAACCTAAAAAAGAAAGTCTCAGGACTACAGCAGGTCCATCTGATAGTCCACTTACTGGAGCATGTCCTGTAAGAGGCTATTGCCTTCCCCCAGGATCTCATGCATATGCTCTGGTTCTGAATATACAAGATAAAACAACATATGACAAGATGGATGGAAGGAACCAAAAGGAAGGGAGAAGGGCCTATAAAAGAGAAATTTTTATACAAAAAAAAAAAATAATTCAATAGTAAAAAATTACCTTTTTTAAAAAAATAAATCCAAGGAAAAGAACAAATGCAGCTGTTTATAAAGAAGCTACACAAATCCACAGAAAAATTCTTCTAAATTATTGGGAACTCTCATTATGCTTATTGCAGAACATATTGTAAGATTTGTTTTCACTACTCCAAGAATATCATCACACAGTACACTATACTTTATTTAGCAGAAGATCAACTTAGTGTTTAGGAACTTTGACTTTTCAGCTATTCTTTATCTTGTGGTAACAGAAACCTTTTCACAGCTGTATACTTAACATTTATACAATTTGAACAGTAATAACTTCCCTAATAAAGGAATAATATCAGTTTAAGAAATTAAGTTTAGGTAGAATTTCATGCATAAAGTTGACTGGAAAAGTAAATTAGGGGGTTTTTGAGTATTTTGTTTTCAAAGTCTAGGCAACACAAATATCTTCTTTTACATTCACTTATGTCACTTTCTGGTATTCTTCAGCAGTTAGAACATTAGGGAATTTCTTACTTGTTATTAAAAAAAATAAAAACTCTTCAAGTGGCTTCATGTTCAATTACATTTATTACATAACCTTCATAACATGCAGCCAAATCTATCTGGACAACATTCCTTTTAAGATTTTCCTTTTGCAATGTGAGTTTTTCATCTGACACTTTAGAAAAAGGATTTGAAAATAGCCAAATTATGTGCAACGGTGATTTAGGTGCATTTGAGCACTCACTTGTAGAGGAGCTTAATGAAATTCACTCACAGTACTTAAATGTACTGGCATGAGAAACATAAGAATCACTGGCAATTATTTTAGGAGAATTTATGCAAGACAGATTATGTTCCAAGGCAACCAATGACGTATCTGGGTTTTGTTTGTTTGTGTTTGATTTTTTTTAAATTTAGATAAATTACAAATTCCCAGTCAAGTAATTTCTAAACGTTTTAGGAAAATGAATTATTAAATAATGTCACGTGTATTTCTCAAAACAAATTACGCCAAACTAACAGAATATTTCATTTGGTAAAATAACCACCTTAGCAGATAAAGGAAATAAAGCAAAAAGACCAAATTCAAACTTCAGGGCTCTTGATACTCTGGTTTCAGGTAAAACTGCTATCATAGTGCAAACTGTAAGGAATAATGGAATTAAGAAATAGCACCATGCCAAGTTAAAACATCAACTGTTTGAAATAAATGCTTCTAAGGAAGTTATAAGATTGAGTGATATACAGCAAAAGACTAACATTTATTACTAACCCTGTGGAAGACAGTTCAAGATGATCAATTCTACAGATGACAAAGTTACGAGAGACAGAGATACTGAGATCTGTGTGATTGTGGTAATCTGACTGAAATTATTTTAAAGAGAAACACATCATGACTACTGTTGCTTCCCACCCTCAGTGAAAGATGAGAATGTGATGAAAAGACCTCACAGTATACTGTACACTGCAGAGTTATCAAGTTACTACTGTGATACCTAATTAAGTTTATGGCACATTTGTTTAACCAAACCAGCACACTATGTGCATACACGCACACAAAACCAACTCCATTTTCTTGTCTCTATCTCAAAAAAAAACAGTTAAAAAAACTTGTAAGAGTTGAGCAGTAAGTCCAAATCCAGCAAGCAGTAACAGTGTGCAAACATTCCCTTCAACAGTCCCACTGACCTCTGTAACTATGGCAAGCACAAGTACAGAAATTGTGTTACTATGATGTACACATGGAACATAAAGTGGTCAGTTATTTTGCTCTTCTGGATGTCAATTAAATGCTAAAAGAAATATGGCTGTGCCATGTTTGGACTACTTTAAAGACAGAAATCGAAGAGGTCAGAAAACAAAACTGAAAATAAACAATAAAGAATAGAAAATAAACCGAATATCTGGAGAACATAATTTCCAAGGGAAGATCAACAAATTAGCACATTCAGTGTAACTGTAACTCTTGCAGTTTCCTGATAACAAACTATGTATTAAGACTACAAAGAAAAAAGCACCTAAACTTATCTTCACAATGAAAAGATTTTTTCTGATCTGCAGTTATGTTTATTATGAAAAATTCAAATTTCTCTCTTCAGACTAATAAGGTGGAGAAAGCAAACAAACTTGTCCTTTCCAAAAGCAGCACTTGACTGTTGTTCTTATTATGATAACCACATCAGAGGTTATTTAAAAATAACCAGATTAATTAAATAAATTTTTAAAATTTAAATAATGCTATTTAAGTAGTCTAAATAAGTGATGGCTTTTCAATAAAATTATGTTTTTGGATTGGGAAATTTCAAATCAGAGAATTTATTAAAGAAGGTATGAAAAACGTTTCTCCTTCCACCATCCATTCTACCAGTCTTAATCTAAGCTTGTGTGTAGAATCTTTCTAAAAATCTGAGTGCAGTATATACATTGTATTAGCTTTTTGTGGTTGTTCTGATCAAAGAACGAGGATGCGATAACAGAGCCCGCAGTTTAGGATAGCCGGCCTAACAGTCCGACAGTGTAACAGACACACTCCTGCACAACAAAAGAAACTGGGAATAGGATGCTGTTGCTCAAAGACAGGTATGTAGTGCCATTTCAGGCACTGTCATCATCCCACTGGCCTCTTCAGAAGGCCACAGGTCTTCTGTGGCTCATGTTATCTTTCAGCCCTGTGCAGACTTCTCAGCAACTGCTGGCATCTCAACTTGCATTGCATGGCTACATTTAGGCAACTGGACTCAGTCCTAACCAGCCTCAAATTATTAAGAAAGTAACATAAAGGCTAAATCTGAAAATATTTAATATAATTTATTGCAGCAGTTTCTTAGGCAAAAACACTGATTTAAATCTAAATTTAGATAAACAGGAGGACTGGAATTGTTCTAGACTCCTATGGGACACTAAAAATTCTGTTTGATTTCAGCCTTGCCAAAACTGACTGGGTGCAAAATTTACTTTATGTATAGTTTTGTAAGAATCGAATTAAAAAAATTAATTCCAAATTAAGTTAACATTCGGTTTGCCTGTCCACATTCGTTATCACTTACAGTTTCTAGACAACACCTGAACCAAAAAGATGCCACTACAAAAAGGAGCAAGAGGTGGAATTGCAGGGGGCAATTTTTACAAAAATAAAGGAAAAAAGATAAAAATCTTAGTTTATGAATGAATACTCTGGAGATAGAACCGAGAAAGCTCTAACGATGTAAAGCTCTACCGATTAGGTATTCCCATTCTTTGACTGATTTACCTGCCTAAACAGGATGAAACCCAATTATCATGACGTTTCTACAATCAGCTAGCAACCCTGTCATGTATGACAGAGACAAGTCATTTATAAATTAATTACACTAAATTTTTTAGCACAGGGCTACTTTTTTATGGCATTTCTTGATATTTGTTCACTCAGACACATTTTTAGAAGACCCTAAATGTTTAAAAACATTTGAAAAATCAAACTCAATGGTCTCATCATCTGTTACAGAGAAACTATTTAGCAAAGCAGTAGGAATGTTTTTGCTATTCTGAACTCTGGAAAAAAAACATACATATTGGAAGACTATTAAAACTAAAACTATAGGGAAATATAAAATGCATCCTGGAACTGTAATGAACAGTGGGAAGAATGGAGTAGTACCACATATTTTTTCAGAATCTTTCTAATTATGAATTGTATACAGAACCTTTGACTATTTCCCTAGAATACCACTACAGATTTTCAGAAAATATCCGAAGAAAACTGAGATTTAAAGAAGTGTTTTATTTTTAAACATTAGCACTACTAGCTGGTAAGAAGTTTTGCATCACCTCTTCTTTTCCCTCTGTCTCTGTTTACACTCTCATCTCAAAAAATGTACTTTCTTCCTTCTCAAATGACACTTGCCATTCTCCTTACGTGAGCAGGCAGACACTTCTGTCCGAGGTAACAGTTTAGTCCAGCCACGGTAAACCTTTTCAATGTCTAAGATGAATTTGTGAAGCAGCACTGCATTTCATGATCACTGATGTCAGTCCTAATCCATGTTAGTGTCAAACATGTCACCAATGCAAGTGGTTAATTGCCACTGGTCTAATCTAATTGGTTAGGTACAGAATGAGCATTATAGGAACTATTTTTTAATCCTAGTATCGCTCCTGCTTCTTAAGTTTGTAGAAAGCTTATGCACCAAGTTCCCCATCTGTGGAAGAGGGTAGTCGCTCTTACCTACTTACCTCAGCAGTAATGAAACCAACAATGAGCTATTGTGTTTGCTACACTGTCGTTACAAGCTATGTGTCTGCTATTGTTATATTAAGCATTTCTTGTCTCCACTTGAACCGATTCTTTCATCTCCCTGCTACAACTTGTAACAAGAAGACTTTGTAGTGTGCTCATTGTCTTTTTGTGCGTGTCTAAGAGCCTAGAGTAATCCATCTGGTTTGTGGTAACCATGACAATAGATGCTATAGCAAGAGAAACACAAAAAATTACATTACCTTACAAGATGCTGTGACAATGAATTATTTAAAGTTGATGGGGGTGAGGAGAGATGACAAAAGACTTCCAACACAGAAAACATTAGATAAGTGCTAAATATTACTTCTAAATATATTTATGTCTATTACAAAAATCACTTAGACTCTAATAGCAAGCAATACATTTAATGAAGCAGATGCTGGGAGCATACTTCTAAATCATACATGGTCTTTTCAGAATCAAGTGGTATCATGCATAGTGTAAGACTCTAGAATTCTGTAAAAACACTGAAAATAGACATCTAAAGTCAAGAGTATTATTTTGTAAGTGACTATTTCAAATTTAGATTTCATACCATCTTCTCTTTAGAGTAACAAGAGCATGTATGTAATATCCAGGAGCCAAATCTTCTGCATTAGATGAGTCCTGGACAAAAATTAAATGTGTACTGAGGCATATACTTCTATCTTGCATTTAAATCTAAGCATATTAAGGGAATTATCTGTTTATGAAAACATTCAAATGTACAATGAGTACTGTATAAGAAACCATAATACTGAGCCTCTGACAAATTTGAGGAACATGTCTTCTGCTAGCCTTCCAGAGGGCACGGATACTATCTTGCTACCAACAGAACTATTACTGAACTATACATAGATAACTAATTAACTAAACTGAGAGATAACTGCACTCTTCGAATACATCCAGGCTCTTCCACTTTGACTTGAAAAGAGCCATATTAAGAACGGTATTCTGAAGTCTTGAAATCAGTTCTAATAGAATATACTTAAGTTAGGAAGAACTAACAGCCTGTGCAGAAAAGGTATCCTGAACAGATCATAGGGGCTTCAATTGAAAGAACTCCCTCACAAAAAAAGGCTACGAAAGGTTGACAGCTATATCTCATATCAAGCCACTTACATGCCTTTTCATCAGTTTATTTGTTTAAGCACATGGATCTCTAGAGATGACAATGAAAAGTAAGACTTTTTACTAAAACAGAAGCAAAAGAATGAGGTTAGGAAACAACTGGAAAATACAGATAAACTGCGCTGGCATGCTAGCTTTTGCTAACGATAAGATGAAAGCCTATATGACAGAGATGCAACATCCAGAAGCAAGCAAGCAACTTTTATACTTAGTATCCTTTTTTTACAGGGAAAAAAAAAAAATCAATATAAAAACCATAATACACAATTAATTAAATTAGGATGTATTTTACCAACAAATAATCAGTTAAGGAAATAAAAAGGTTCTACCTGTGTCTGAATTGCGATCTTCATTTCTGGATGGACTAATAGTAAAAGGAAGTTTACGTTTCATGGAAGACTTTTCTTTCATCTCCTTCCCCACATCACTCCTATCCACTTTTGGAGTTTTGCTGTAGGATGCAATCTTGTCCTTGCTCTAATATAAATAAAAAGTATACTAAGTAATTTTTGCATAAAGCAGAATAGTCTTATAATGTATACAGACTGAAAAGACCACTATGCGAGAATGTATGTGCATGCATGTATGTATATGTATTACACAGTTTATTCAAAAACTTTTAAAAATTAACCTTACTAAAAATAATCAATGGCATTTCTTCGGTTTTAAAATTCGTATCTTCTATGTTACTTCTACTTCCAGATACATGACTGTAGAATTGCTGTTCACTATTAGAGCCTTGATTAATAAGCAAAGGAACAATACAAACTGGACAAGAATTTACTAAGTCTTAATGACCATCCCAATTTCCTTCCCTGACCGTAACATAATAATGACATTAAAAGCACATTAAAAGCCCACATTGCAATTCAGACTGTGAATAGTAACACAGTAGCAATAAAAAAAAAATCTCCAATAACCAGCCCTGGCCTCCACTCCCGCCCCATAATCCATCCATATAGAACTTCCTTTCTATTGCAACAAGAATAATATTGTAGTGTTTCATTTTCTAAAGCAAAATTTACTAAGAACTTAGAAAATCTATGAAGAAACTTTTTAAACTCGTACCAAATTTAGAAAAAATAGGTACAAGCTATTTGGAATTTTTAGTTGCATAAATCTGGCATTTTTAGCTTATAAAACATATTTCAAGATAAACAGAGAAAAACCTGGCTAGGCACAATATTATCTTATGTTTGATTACTTTGATAATGTAGGAGGTCCAAGTATGTAAAAGACAGCAGGCTACTGAGAAGACTGCTTGAGAGAAACCTCTGCAAACCTCAACATTTTGGCCTACCAAAGTGAAATGTAGAGACATAACATCTTCTGTTCATTATATGCTGCAGAAACACGTTATGCAGTTATGTCGGCTATCACAACTCCACAGCTTGATATCATTCTTAACAGAGGATCAGATGAAGCCACTAACAGATTCATTTTCTAAAGGCAGAAGAGGCAGATACACCCACTTATGTGCCAATCAGAAAAACAAAAGGATGCTACTCAGTACTTTCGATGTATGAAACTAAAAGATCTATTCTCATTAGAAGAAAACTAGAATATAAGTCCAAGTAAAGATACTATTCTTGAGAGCATCTTTCCTTAATTTAAAAACAAACACAGGTAAGAAGTGTAGTTTGATCATATCATCAGACACTCTTGAGTTTAAACTGTTGCCAAAGGGGTAGGCAGCAGTAATTAAAAAAAGAACCTGCAAACCAACTCTACCATCTTCAGACAACAAATGCGTGTACCAGGGAAACCGCCAAGATGGGATCACACTACATCAGAATTCCTGAAGTGAAAGGTTGATGCGCCCAGAGAAAACCTATTTTCACTCTGAGTTTGGAAACATGGAAAAAAAAAAAAAACACACCCAAAAAGCCAAAACCCAAAACAAACCAAAATGCAGAGTAAAACCCACACACCAAAACCAAAACCAGTCCTCCTCCAAAACCCCGAAGGAAACAACAAACATCCCTCAGCCTTTTTATTACATGCTAGAACAAGAAAATCTAAAAATCTAAAAGCCCTTAAGATTCCCCTAAGCCCTTGGGAGATAAAGCATCTGTGCTATTACTTTTGAAGGAAGTTAATTAATCTAATGCAACTGATCATTTGCAAATGCTTCTGTAAGTCGACAAAAGCAGATCCAAACTCCATTAAGCCCATTCCGATCTCTTCCACTACACAGAACAGTTTCTCCACTTCAGTCTAATCTCACCAAGAGCTCTCTTATCCCTTGTTTCAAACAATTCAATTATTTCTCATATGTACATATGTAAATTTCCCACAATACGATCAAGTGGTATTAAAAATTTATTGCTTTCTCTAGAATATTGTTAGGCACTAGGCAATAAAAAGGATCAATTAAAAATAATTCAAAAATCCTAAGCAGGAAACATTGGTTTCAACTTGTTCTGTAGAAAAAAGGCAAGCTTTTTGCAGTTGGTAGTCCTTAAAAAGAATCACTTTTTTTGGTACTAATCAGTAAAATACATTGGTAGATGCTCAAAGAGATACAAGCTGCTTAAATAATTTGATAGCTTTACATTTATTCTTATTCTTACATTGTATATATGCATCACATTAAGTACTATGACTTATACACTACTTTTTTTGATAATCACTAAATATTAATTTTGTGATGATCTAATTAGGAGAAGAGATGGTTCAAAATGTGTACTTTCAGATAAATAAACAAACATTGAAAATGAAAGTACAGGCTATACACAGAAAACACAGAAACTGAAAAATGAGAGTATTTTGTTCCTTAGCTATTGTGGAAATAAATATTTAGCCACCACAGTGGCAGACTTTCCAACTCAAAAGATGCAATGAACAGGGTGCTTGAGAAGTCTGCACAAAGTCAATGCTATTTAGCATTTTCAGTGACACTGCTGAAACAGACACGCAATTATATATGCGGACACCATCACAACCAGGGGAGAGGGAGTAGCAAAGAGGGCTGGCACAGGGAAAATAAAATGATTAGTGAATTTGAAAAACAGTCTAAATACAAAGCAAAAAGGGAAGAGCCAGGAGAAAACCAAGGTTCTACAAACTGATAAAAATAATTAACTGTACAATCACAAGACCCTATGGTAAAAGCCACAAAACTCTTAACAGTCTCCTGGATTCAACTTCAAGTAAAGGAAGGCAAGAGGAGGTAGTGAGCCCTGCAGGTTAGAACAGGCATTTTGGTCTAAAGAGTAGGCATTCACTGCTCCAACTACTCCTGGTCACTGCAACAGCACGGACATCTCTTTTTCAAGGTCCAAAGCAAGGTTCAAAATTCAATATGAACAGGTCTATGTACTAGTTTAATGTGATCAGTGGAAGCAACCCAAAATGGAGTTGATACATTTTATAAAGCAACCTGTAACTTAGAATACCTGCAAGCTTTCTGAAGTGGTTCATTAATCTAAAATGAAAACTTCTGAACAAATAAAATACTGAAGAAATGATAATGTTCAGATACATAAACTATTGCTGCAAACAGAAAGGCATTACATACACTTCATGTCCACTACAGTTAGAGAACATTTCATGGCTTGAGACTGCAACAGGAGACAAACAAAGGTTATTTATCCTTCTATTGAGTATCTAACATCATGTCGGTCAGTGTAATTAAGTATCAGAACAAACTGCCCACGGAGACCGGAATTTCCACCAGTCAAGGATTTAAAGAAAAGTTCTGGCAAACATCTGTCAAGAACTGAGTACAGCTTATTCTACTCTGGGGCAAATGGATGAATTGTATCCTCACTGGAGGATGTAGTAACAAGGAAGTTTTCCATCAACAAAACCATACTATGTGTACTCCATAATGAGGAACACGTTTTTATTCTGTTCAACAGAAACAGTCTCAGAAAGCTAACAAACAGCAGTCTGGACAATCTCTTGATACCTCATCCCAGCTCTATTGTCTGGTGCCGCTACAATCAACGACAACACACAAAAGCAGACAACAGAGTGCCAAATAATCTAGCAGATGTATCAAGCCCTGGGAGAATAAGCATTCTTTTTCTGCCTATCAAACACAATTACATACTGAAGCGTGTTCTGCATGGTATTAAAATGGCTTTGGGCACTATTGCTGGACCCTTCTAAGAAAAGAGTTAATTCTTACAAATCTCAAATATGTTTCTCCTTTGGACCACATATCTATCATTTACTTCCTTAGTTTCGGCCATATAAGTTCTAAAGTATAAATTCAGATAAATTAAAACTTCATTATCTTCTTTTATTTATAAAATATCTCATGCAAACACTAAATTGTCTATCCACTGTACACATTCTTACAATTTTTTTATTTATTTTATGCTGCAAGATCAGCAACAGAAATAAAAATATATGTACCCTA